TAGGAGAACTAACGACAAAGGTTAGGATAATTTACGTAGAAGGTTAGGAGAACTAACAACAAAGGTTAGAATAATTTACGTAGAAGTTTAGGAGAAATAACGACAAAGTTTAGGATAATTTACGTAGAAGGTTAGGAGAACTAACGACAAAGGTTAGGATAATTTACATAGAAGGTTAGGAGAACTAACGACAAAGGTTAGGATAATTTACGTAGAAGGTTAGGAGAATTGGGCTAAGTTTAGAATAAGGTTTAGGGGCCCACTGCTAGAACTGCTGCTGTGGGTGAGCGATGAGCATTAGCCTGAATGCCAGTCTGTTTCTGCTCTATTGCCAACGGGTGAGCGATGAGCATTAGCCTGAATGCCAGTCTGTTTCTGCTCTCTTGCCAACGGGTGAGCGATGAGCATTAGCCTGAATGCTAGTCTGTTTCTGCTCTCTTGCCAACTCCTTATGGAATTGTCATGCCAAACAGGGTGTGACAATGAGTGACAAGGAGTTGGCTAGATGGCAGAAACCAATTGGGACCCAGGCTAGGTGAGCACAGATGTATTATTATAAGTAACACTTCATCTTTATAAAGGGTTTAAACTACTTTATTAACCGTCAATTAAATACATTTGGTAGATATTGTTATCTTATTTTTTCACCCAAAACATATTATTAAGACAGATCTTTTTGCTGCCACAACAAAGCACAATTTAAACTGGAACCGCCCCTGGTAAACACATATAGACATACACAAAACATCTGCACATAGATGAAAACATAGCTACAGTACTTCACTTTTTTTTTTACAATTTTCAGCCGCCCAGTCTTCTGTTCTGGACAGAACGATTACTACACAAATATTGAAGAAAGATAAGACAGTGAGTCATACACAATGTAAAAAAAAAAAATCTAGTTTTTTCAACTAATTATTACTAAGTAACTGGGTTCCACAGCCTTTTTTTTGGTTTACTCGACTTTTTGGTCAAAGTGTTACCTGAACTGAACATTTTTAGTTGTCGCAAACTTAGCTACAATTTAAGACGTGTGCAAAAATTCTGTCGACTTAAAATGACGTGTTTACTCAAGTTGTCTCACATGTTCATTCAACTAGAAATTCTTAACAAAAAAAGGCTGTGCAACTGGTTACACACACACACAGTGCTTTTAACATACAATGTTTTCAACACTCATTATTATTCAACATGTCCTCACCTGGGATTAGAACGCACAACCTCTTGGATCATGGCATTCCGATTTTCCTGCTACGCTGCCACATTTGTGTCAATTATCAGTTAATCTGACTTCTCTCATAATTTATTTTAATTTTGAAAGATAACAATGCATGTTTATTTAAAAGTACATTTCCTCCGTCACAAGTGTAGAGAGGACAGGCAGGAGGCAGTCTCAGGTTTAGAACTACTGAATTTATTAAAGCACCATAGCTTAAAGCGGGACGAAACACACAGTGCAAAATATAAAGTACTCAGGAAATAGTAGGAGAGATTCCTCTCAGGAAAACAAGCAATATATACAATGACCGACAAAGACAAATGACAGAGGGATTATATATACAGTGATAGGGTGGGGATTGAAACCAGGTGTGTGTTATGATGACGAGACAAGTCCGGGGTTGATGAGTGAAGGGCGTTTTGCCAGCAGCAGGTTCGGCAGCATCTAGACCCCGGAGACGCAGTGCGGGTCGGTCAGGACGACGCCTGTGGAAATCCTGAATGAGAGAACGGTCGAGGACGTTCCCGCGCCGGAACCCAGCGCCGCTCTTCGGGACCGTACCCCTCCCAGTCGACCAGGTACTGGAGAGACCCCCCACAACGCCTTAAGTCCAACAGGCTGTGGACGGAGTAGGCCGGGGCTCCCTCGACATCCAAGGGAGGGGGAGGTGCGTCGTGGGGTCCAGCACTAGCCAAGGGACCAGCTGCCACCGGCCTGAGGAGAGATACATGAAATGAGGGTGAGATATGGTAATTGACGTGGAGCTGTAATCTGTATGTCACCTCATTGATTCTCCTCAGGACTTTGAACGGCCCCACAAACCGCAGGCTCAGCTTCCGGCAGGGCAGGAGGAGGGGCAGGTCCTTCGTAGAAAGCCAGACCCTGTCACCGGGGTGAAAGACCGGGGCCACACTGCGGTGGCGATCGGCCTGCGCCTTCTGCCGGAGGACGACGTGTTGGAGACGGGTGTGCGCTGTGTTCCATACCTCTTCGGCGCGCCGGAACCAATCGTCCACCGCAGGAGCCTCGATCTGACTCCGGTGCCAGGTTGCCAGGGCCGGCTGATAGCCTAGAATACACTGAAAGTGTGTGAGGTTAGTGGAGGAGTGACGGAGGGATTTTTGTGCGTATTCTGCCCAAGGCAGAAACGCAGCCCACTCCCTCGGCCAGTCCTGACAGTAACTACGAAGGTAGCTTCCCAGATCCTGATTTACCCTTTCCACCTGCCCATTTGATTGGGGACGGTACCCGGAGGTGAGGCTGACCGTGACCCCTAGTCATTCCATGAAGGCCTACCAGACACGGGAGGTGAACTGAGGACCACGGTCAGACACGATGTCCTCCGGGATCCCGTAGTGCCGGAAGACGTGAGAGAAGAAAGCCTCCACGGTCTGCATGGCCGTAGGGAAAGGTAAAAGCTTTGGTGCGCCTTCAATGAAATTTTGGGCAAGAAAGCAAACTCAGCTCCACCATTCATTCAATCAGATTGCTCATTCATCACAAAACCCACTGATATTGCCAACTACTTTTATATTTTTTATTCATCTGCAAGATTAGCAGATTTAGGCATGACATGCCAGCAACAGACGCGGACACTACACATCCAAGTATATCTGACCAAATTATGAAAGAGAAGCATTGTAATTTTGAATTCTGAAAAGTGAGTGTGGAAGAGGTGAAAAAAGTATTGTTGTCTATCAACAATGACAAGCCACCTGGGTCTGACAACTTGGATTGAAAATTACTGAGGATAATAGCGGACGATATTTCCACTCCTATTTGCAATATTTTCAAACGAAGCCTACAAAAAAGTGTGTGCCCTCAGGCCTGGAGGGAAGCAGGAGTCATTCCGCTACCCAAGAATAGTAAAGCCCCCTTTACTGGCTCAAATAGCCGACCAATCAGCCTGATAACCAACACTTAATAAACTTTTGGAAATAATTGTGTTTGACCAGATAAAATGCTATTTCACAGTAAACAAATTGACAACAGACTTTCAGCACGCTTATAGGAAAGGACATTCAACATGCACGGCACAAATGACTGATGATTGGCTGAGAGAAACTGATGATAAAAAGATTGTGGGGGCTGTTTTGTTAGACTTCAGTGCGGCTTTTGACATTATCGATCATAGTCTGCTGCTGGAAAAACGTATGCGTTATGGCTTTACACCCCCTGCTATATTGTGGATAAAGAGTTACCTGTCTAACAGAACACAGAGGGTGTTATTTAATGGAAGTCTCTCCAACATAATCCAGGTAGAATCAGGAATTCCCCAGGGCAGCTGTGTAGGCCCCTTACTTTTTCAATCTTTACTATGTATGTGGATGACTACTACAGCGAGTGAAATTACTGCAAGAAATAAGTTGGTCCTAAATACTGTATTTAAAAAACTAACACCATTGTATTTGGGACAAATCATTCACTAAACCCTAAACCTCAACTAAATCCTGTAATAAATAATGTGGAGATTGAACAAGTTGAGGAAACTAATCTGCTTGGAGTAACCCTGGATTGTAAACTGTCATGGTCAAAACATATTGATACAACAGTGGCTAAAATGGGGAGAAGTATGTCTATAATAAAGCGCTGCTCTACCTTCTTAACAGCACTATCAACAAGGCAGGTCCTACAGGCCCTAGTTTTATCGCACCTGGACTACTGTTCAGTCGTGTGGTCAGGTGCCACAAAGAGGGATTTAAGAATATTACAATTGTCTCATAAGAGGGCTGCACGGCTGGCCCTTAAATGTACACGGAGAGCTAACATTAATAATATGCATGTCAATCTCTCATGGCTCAAAGTAGAGGAGAGATTGACTTCATCACTACGTGTTTTTGTAAGAAGTATTGACATGCTGAATGCACCGAGCAATCTGTTTAAACTACTAGCACACAGCTCGGACACCCATGCATACCCCACAAGACATGCCACCAGAGTTCTCTTCATAATCCCCAAGTCCAGAACAGACTATGGGAGGCGCACAGCACTACACAGAGCCATGACTACATGGAACTCTATTCCACATCAGGTAACTGATGCAAGCAGTAAAATCAGATTTTAAAAAAACAGATAAAAATACACTTTATGGAACTGCGGGGACTGTGAAGTGGCTTGCGAAAGTATTCACCCCCCCCCCTGGCATTTTTCCTAAGGACCACCATTTTAACCAGCCTCTTACAGAGGACGGTGATGCGGACCCTGGTGGTAAAGGAGAAGTCTCACAGGTAGCATACAGTGAGTGCCAGGAGGAAGTAGTGAAGGTCTTTAATATTCAGGTGTTCTATGGGTTCTTTAGTTTCGTACCTGTCAGTCCCTGGAGATGAGACCGACCCCTGACGACACCAACTGTTGGTTTCTTGGTAAGAATAAAGCTTGAGCCCAAGAACAGTGTAGGTCCAGCGTTGTGCCAGTAACCGAAAGGTCGCTGGTTCTAATCCCCGAGCTGACTAGGTGAAAAATCTGTCGATGTGCCCTTAAGCAAGGCACTTAACCCTAATTGCTCCTGTAAGTCGCTCTGGATAAGAGCGTCTGCTAAATGACAAAAAAACAAACAAAAAAATACATATATGTAGAATGGCGACAGCTGTAAAAAGTGTTTAGTAATCCCAGGTGTAAACAGTGTTTAGTAATCCCAGGTGTAAACAGTGTTTAGTAATCCCAGGTGTAAACAGTGTTTAGTAATCCCAGGTGTAAACAGTGTTTAGTAATCCCAGGTGTAAACAGTGTTTAGTAATCCCAGGTGTAAACAGTGTTTAGTAATCCCAGGTGTAAACAGTGTTTAGTAATCCCAGGTGTAAACAGTGTTTAGTAATCCCAGGTGTAAACAATGCCCTGCGCTGGGGGACAGTGTTCCCTTATCCAGACACCTCTCAAGTTGCAGAGCAGCAATAGCAAACATATTGGCAGCCAGTAACAGGTTAACAGATGTCTGGTTATAATTGTCCTCCATAAGGTGCTCCAAGACTTTCCTCAAGTCAATTAAGAAGCCATGTTGTATAACGTTATCCAGGAACAGGTGAGCATGGGTCAGGATCAGAAGGATAATGATCCAGTTGAGAATCCCTCTGTAGTTCGTGAAGCGGCTGTCAGATCTCAGTAAGGAATCCTGGACCGTGTGACAGCAGAACATGTCCATGTCTGGATGGATTGAGTGGGAGGATCAGAGCTGGAACTGCCATGTGTCTTCCTCTTCCTCTTCCTCTTCAAGTTAAGAAAAGGAGCAGACGCAGGCCTCAGGGTCTGCTGCAACCGTCTCAGTATCTGTGTTGATGGTGTGTCAACACATCAGACAACGTTGAAAAGGCACATCAAGACACAAAAAGCAGAGAGTGTGTCTTTAATATTGCAGATAAATTGTGGGTTCTATCAATGTAATTGTTTGCATCATTTCTAATCCTAATTTTGCTCACATCTACAGTACCTGTAGTTAAATAATTATACATATATTCCTAATTTCCTCTTTAAGTGCTGGATTTTCACACACAGCGACCGATCCACCATTCATTCTGATCTGAACTCCAACCCTCCCATGTCCACAGATTAACCCATCTTTCCCAGTATAATACCATTTTGCTATTTCCTTTTCCAATACATCCCTCCATTCTACTGTGATGTCTTACGAGGGTCCTGAACCTCCGCGTTTGTAACACTTCTACTGATATTGCTCTAAAAAGTAATACTTTACCCAAGAGTATAATGATATCTCCCATTGACTGATCGTAGTTTTTCAGATCCCCTAACAAAACAGTTTGCAGATCGACCTGAACCCTGACATTATGACATAACATTCCTGGACCTGACTCCAAAAGCGAGCCACCGATGGACAGTTGCCAGAAAATATGTTCTATTGATTCTGTTTCCTCGTTGCAGAGTCTGCACAAGGCTGACTGTTCAATGCTCCATATATTGAGCATTCTTTTTGTAGCAAGTATGTTATATAATATCTTAAATTGAAATGAACGGATTGATGTGTCAATTGTTGTTTTATATGTCAGTTTATAGACCCGATGCCAAGGTATTGGGACATCAACAACCTGTTCCCAACTGACTTGAACTTTATATGGTATTGCTGTCAAACCTTTTGACTTTAAGTGAAACTGATACATTTTTCAATTTATACTAATCATTTAAGCCAGTTATGTTTTTTAATGAGTGGCAGACAGAGGATTTCTTTAATTTCTTCTTTAAGTAATTGTCTCTTCCAATTTTTTTGAAACTCCAAAGAGGCTGAACATTTTCATCTCTACAAATAATTTACAGGACACTTGGAGATTACTATTCCCAACTACAAAAGACTACTCCTTTTTTTCTCAAAGTAAGAAAAGCTATTCAAGAATTTAGTACATTTTTATTTCCAAAAATGCTCTGAAAAATTCTCCGGTAACATGCTTAATTACACCAACAGAAAATACACTTAGCGACAGAATATGGAGAATGAACAGAGCGCATCTAACATTAATAATATGCATGTCAATCTCTCATGGCTCAAAGTAGAGGAGAGATTGACTTCATCACTACGTGTTTTTGTAAGAAGTATTGACATGCTGAATGCACCGATCAATCTGTTTAAACTACTAGCACACAGCACGGACACCCATGCATACCCCACAAGACATGCCACCAGAGGTCTCTTCACAATCCCCAAATCCAGAACAGACTATGGGAGGCGCACAGCACTACATAGAGCCATGACTACATGGAACTCTATTCCACATCAGGTAACTGATGCAAGCAGTAAAATCAGATTTAAAAAAACAGATAAAAATACACCTTATGGAACAGCGGGGACTGTGAAGTGGCTTGCGAAAGTATTCACCCCCCCCCCCCTGGCATTTTTCCTAAGGACCACCATTTCAACCAGCCTCTTACAGAGGACGGTGATGCGGACCCTGGTGGTAAAGGAGAAGTCTCACAGGTAGCATACAGTGAGTGCCAGGAGGAAGTAGTGAAGGTCTTTAATATTCAGGTGTTCTATGGGTTCTTTAGTTTCCTACCTGTCAGTCCCTGGAGATGAGACCGACCCCTGACGACACCAACTAAAAACAGAGATTCCATAGAATTCTATTTAACATTTTGGGACAAAGTATCGCCCCTATTTACACACATGACAACACACATCACTCAATTTCCTAGTTCCATGTATTAAACAGTTATTTCTGTTATATTAAAACCAGGAAAAACTGGAGAGTCCCCTGCTGATTACAGACCCATAAATTTAATAAATTGTGACGAAATAACAAAGCTCATAGCAATAAAATGGCAAAAGTCTTACCAGACTTGTTACATATCAATGAATTTAAAATCGATTAAATTGAATGTCAAAGTGGAATTGTGTTTTTCCGCAATTTTTACAATATAATTAAAAATGAAAACCTGAAATGTCTTGAGGCAATAAGTATTCAACCCCTTTGCTATGGCAAGCCTAAATAAGTTCAGGAGTAGAACTTTGCTTAACAAGTCACATAATACATTGCATGGACTCACTCTGTGTGCAATAATATCATATAAAGCTGTAATCGCTGCTAAAGGTGCTTCTACAAAGTATTGATTAAGGGGTGTGAATCATTATGTCAATTAGATATTTCTGTATTGAATTTTCAATACATTTGATTAAATTTCTAAAAATATGTTTTCACTTTGTTGTTATTGGGTGTTAAGTGTAGATGGGTGAGATTTTTTAAAATATTTAATCCATTTTGAATTCAGGCTGTAACACAACAAAATGTGGAATAAGTCAAGGGGTGAATGCTTGAATACTTGCTGAAGGCACTGCAAAAGCACTAAAGAAGAACAACGGGTACATATTGAAGATGTGCATGCTCATCCCCAGAGTCTTTTTATGTGTCTATTTTCTAAGGATAAAGCTAAGAACATTAACAACTTCATAGTTAAGAACACTATAACAATATGCAAGAAAATGAAATGTATTATACAAGAACCAATATCACTCCCTAAAAACACAACCTTATGGAACAATCTAAAAATAGCTTTTCAGAATTCACCAATAAATTGGTCCCCATGGAAACCTAAAGGCATAGAAACCGTAAATGACTTGGTAACAGGAAATAAATGTATTTCCATGACAGAATTAAAAAGCAATTTTGTACTGACCAATGTAGATATTTTCAAATACATGCAACTTAAAAGTGACATATCAAGAAATTTCGATTTGAAATATTTTGGCCATCAGACTGATCTTGAGGGTACCCTATTTGAGTCAGAAAAAAAATTATTCATATGATAGGTAAAATATACAAAACCTTGCAGAAAGACGATCCAACTGACAATCTCTCAGAAAAATATCAACTATTGGAACCAAGACTTAAAAAGAACTGATGGTTGGCACAAGATGGAGGAGTGTTGAAACATAACTAACAAAATACAGTTAACGAAAATGTACACTTAATCCAGTATAAACTAATGTATATCATTTATTATACAAGAATCAACATTCACAAATTCTACAGCACAACGTCATGTCTTAAAGTGTAAAACGAATAATGACTCAATAATCCTTCTTCTGGGATTGATATAAAGTCCAAAGGTTGGCTGTCAGAAGTATTACAATGTAAACTCTACTTTTAAGCCGGGCGGCAGGTAGTTTAGTGGGTAAGAGCGTTGTGCCAGTAACCGAAAGGTCGCTGGTTCTAATCCCCCAGCCGACTAGGTGAAAAATCTGTCGATGTGCCCTTAAGCAAGGCACTTAACCCTAATTGCTCCTGTAAGTCGCTCTGGATAAGAGCGTCTGCTAAATGACTAAAATGTAAATGTAAGCCGTCTGTCTGCATTTTATTTCAAGACATGGCATATGAGGATGCAGAGATACCCGATGGGTTGGACCATACTTTTCTCATCTATCATCTTGGAAAAAACGTATTCTTAAAAACTGGAAATCGTTAACACAATGGAAAGTTCAAATGCTTTATTATCTAAATGTTGAAAGTTCGTGGGTCGATGGAGAGAAACAAAATGGTGCAGTTTGATGCCATGTGGCGGGGAGTGATACAGGTGCTGGAGATGGGGGTGTGAGCAGGTGGGTCTGGGCAGGGGTGATGTTGTGGATGTTTGTGTGCGTCTGTATGTTGTCGTTTGTATGTGGATTTTTTTTGTAAATAAAATAAATACAATCTTACAAAAATAATAAATACATTGTATTGAGCATACACCTCCATACACTGTTGTTAGTTGCTTGTGTGACATAATGTTACCGTTCTTGTTTACAATTGTGGTGTCTCAAAATATGTTGCTAATTATGCTGTGATGATAAGAAGCCCGCTTACACTGTACTTTGATTACAAAGGTTTATTGCATCAAAGATCACAGTATCAATTTACAGACATCTGCAGATATCTGGAGAACAACGGCCCAATCTGTTAATATGTTGTTTCTCCCCCGTCCTTTGTTCAAAACGTGGTATTTATCCTATGTAACATAAAATGGTTGGTTTTTGACAGACCAATCCCTGGCCTCCACATACAGTGGGGAAAAAAAGTATTTAGTCAGCCACCAATTGTGCAAGTTCTCCCACTTAAAAAGATGAGAGAGGCCTGTAATTTTCATCATAGGTACACGTCAACTATGACAGACAAAATTAGAATTTTTTTCTCCAGAAAATCACATTGTAGGATTTTTTATGAATTTATTTGCAAATTATGGTGGAAAATAAGTATTTGGTCACCTACAAACAAGCAAGATTTCTGGCTCTCACAGACCTGTAACTTCTTCTTTAAGAGGCTCCTCTGTCCTCCACTCGTTACCTGTATTAATAGCACCTGTTTGAACTTGTTATCAGTATAAAATACACCTGTCCACAACCTCAAACAGTCACACTCCAAACTCCACTATGGCCAAGACCAAAGAGCTGTCAAAGGACACCAGAAACAAAATTGTAGACCTGCACCAGGCTGGGAAGACTGAATATGCAATAGGTAAGCAGCTTGGTTTGAAGAAATCAACTGTGGGAGCAATTATTAGGAAATGGAAGACATACAAGACCACTGATAATCTCCCTCGATCTGGGGCTCCACGCAAGATCTCACCCCGTGGGGTCAAAATGTTCACAAGAACGGTGAGCAAAAATCCCAGAACCACACGGGGGACCTAGTGAATGACCTGCAGAGAGCTGGGACCAAAGTAACAAAGCCTACCATCAGTAACACACTACGCCGCCAGGGACTCAAATCCTGCAGTGCCAGACGTGTCCCCCTGCTTAAGCCAGTACATGTCCAGGCCCGTCTGAAGTTTGCTAGAGTGCATTTGGATGATCCAGAAGAGGATTGGGAGAATGTCATATGGTCAGATGAAACCAAAATAGAACTTTTTGGTAAAAACTCAACTCGTCGTGTTTGGAGGACAAAGAATGCTGAGTTGCATCCAAAGAACACCATACCTACTGTGAAGCATGGGGGTGGAAACATCATGCTTTGGGGCTGTTTTTTCTGCAAAGGGACCAGGACGACTGATCCGTGTAAAGGAAAGAAGAATGGGGCCATGTATCTTGAGATTTTGAGTGAAAACCTCCTTCCATCAGCAAGGGTATTGAAGATGAAACGTGGCTGGGTCTTTCAGCATGACAATGATCCCAAACACACCGCCCGGGCAACAAAGGAGTGGCTTCGTAAGAAGCATTTCAAGGTCCTGGAGTGGCCTAGCCAGTCTCCAATCTCAACCCCATAAAAAATCTTTGGAGGGAGTTGAAGGTCTGTGTTGCCCAGCGACAGCCCCAAACATCACTGCTCTAGAGGAGATCTGCATGGAGGAATGGGCCAAAATACCAGCAACAGTGTGTGAAACCTTGTGAAGACTTACAGAAACGTTTGACCTGTGCCCTTTGGGCCAACAAAGGGTATATAACAAAGTATTGAGAAACTTTTGTTATTGACCAAATACTTATTTTCCACCATCATTTGCAAATAAATTCATAGAAAATCCTACAATGAGATTTTCTGGATTTTTATTTCTCATTTTGTCTGTCATAGTTGACGTGTACCTATGATGAAAATTACAGGCCTCTCTCATCTTTTTAAGTGGGAGAACTTGCACAATTGGTGGCTGACTAAATACTTTTTTCCCCCACTGTATCTCCAAATGTCCTCTATTCCAAGAAGCCTATGTAGCAATGCTTTTCCAAATGCTTCAGCAAAGCAGAGTAAAGTTCATCTATTACACCATTTGCAAACATCAGCAAAATCAATAGACCTTCAGACACTACACAATGTCCTTCATAAATATTATACCCTTCTTGTACATTTATTTCCCAAAAAAATAATGTTTTTCTCTATCAGTATATTGGAGTTTGGCCATATTATTTGCTGTAATATTGTAGCCAACTCTGTATGACTTCATTTAAAAAGGAGAATACTTTAAACAGGGATCCATTGTCAATCCACCAAGAATGAAGGTTTTAATCTGTAAAAAGGCAAAGAGCCCACTCTTAAACATAGGATGGGCCTTACTTAGTAGCTTGCTAGAAAACCAATTTGGATTTAGATACAATTTCGGTACAATGGAGGCTTTAAGAGAGAGGTTTAAGGCCTTAATATGTAATAGTTTTGACCCTCCAAACTCATGTTCATTATGTAAATATGCTTGTTTAACTTTGTCCGGTTTGCCATTCCAAATAAAGTGAAATGTTTATTTCTCACATTATTTGAAAAAGGATTCTCCTGGAGTCAGTAGGGCAATTAATAAATACGTAAACTGCGATATCACTAGAGAATGAATCAGGGTAATCTTCCTGTAAATGGATGTTTAATTTGGAGACCAAATGTCAATTTAAAGTTTGTTTCTTTTAGAGACCCTATCAGTAATATAGTACACTTCTCATAGTTGTGTTTTAGTCCAGAGAAACTGGAGAAATTATCCAGGTCCTCAATTAGGCCGTTCAAGGTTGAAGATTGAGGAGTCAAGAGAGAACTGGAATCATTGTCGTACATCGATACTTTTGTCTCTAATCCATAAATTTTTAGCCCCTTAATGTTATCATTAGAACATATTTTTATAGGTAACAATTCAATGGCCATAATAAATAGGTATGGTGACAGAGGGCAACCCTGTTTTACATCACTTGACAATTCAAAGTTCTCAGAGAAGTAACCGTTATTTATTATTTTACATAACGTAATGTCTTTCACCCATTTTATGAGAGATTCTCCAAAGTTTAAATAATCCAGGCAACAGATTCTAGAGACTTACTGTATCAAATGCTTTCTCAAAATCTGCTATAAAGATTATACCTGGTTTCTCTGCATTCTCATAGTTTTCCATTATTTCTAGTAGTTGTCGAATGTTGTCTCCAATATATATCTTCCTTTTAAGAATCCCGTCTGATCGTGATGAATAATGTCTGGTAGGACCTTTTTTATTCTACGAGCAATACATTTAGCCAATATTTTTGTTTTGTGTCACAACATTGAAGGTTGAGGGCCTCCAATAAAGAGAATGGGTCTTTGTATTGCCCCCCCCCCCCCCCCCCCCCCCCCCCCCTGGCTCCTGCCTCAGTAGGAGAGAGATCAGTCCCTCTTTTTGTGTGTCCGACAGTTTGTCATTTATATATGAGTCATTAAAACATGATAGTAATGGACCTTTCAGTAGTTCATGAAAATTGGAATGCCATTGAGACCAGGGGTTTCCCCCATCTGAAAATAATCAATCGCCAACCATAGTTCGTCATATGTAATTAGGCCTTCACAAGATGTTTTTGTCTAATGTTGGCATATTACTCTGTTTTAATGTAACTCCTTAATCACTATGATAAATAAAATAGTTTTTCTTGAGTGTACTTTTAACAGAGCTGAGATTTACTTTGAAGTCATTGACACAGACATGGTGGTGTGGCAGGAAGATCGGTATACTGTGGACCAAGAGGTTGTTAGTTCAAATCCCAGGTGAGAAATAATAATGACTGTATAAAAGAACATGCACAATGTAATCATGGGTGTTAACGTGTGTCAAATATGTAAGTTGAAAACATTGTATGTTGAAAGCACTGTGTGTGTAACCAGTTGCACAGCCTTTTTTAGTTAAAACTTTCTAGTTGAATGAACATATGAGACAACATGAGCAAATGCATCATTTTAAGTTGACAGACTTTTTGCCTGAGGTTTTTCAAGTTGGAGCTAAGCTTTCTGCTCTGTGCTTGCCTACGGAGCAGCAAGAGGAACTGCCACTCCCTACCTTCAGGCTATGCTCAAACCCTACACCCCAACCCGAGCACTCTGTTCTGTCACCTCTGGTCTCTTGGCCCTCCGACCCCTACAGGAGGGAAGCCCCCGCTCAGCCCAGTCCAAGCTCTTCTCTGTCCTGGCACCCCAATGGTGGAACCAGCTTCCCTCTGAAGTTAGGACAGCAGAGTCCTGGCCCATCTTCCAAAAACATCTGAAACTCTACCTCTTCAAATAGTATCTTAAATAATCCCACAGCAGGGGGTTGTGGGGTGGACCAGGACTATACAGGGGGTTGTGGGGTGGACCAGGACTATACAGGGGGTTGTGGGGTGGACCAGAACCATACAGGGGGTTGTGGGGTGGACCAGGACCATACAGGGGGTTGTGGGGTGGACCAGGACTATACAGGGGGTTGTGGGGTGGACCAGGACTATACAGGGGGTTGTGAGGTGGACCAGGACTATACAGGGGGTTGTGGGGTGGACCAGAACCATACAGGGGGTTGTGGGGTGGACCAGGACCATACAGGGGGTTGTGGGGTGGACCAGGACCATACAGGGGGTTGTGGGGTGGACCAGGACTATACAGGGGGTTGTGAGGTGGACCAGGACTATACAGGGGGTTGTGGGGTGGACCAGAACCATACAGGGGGTTGTGGGGTGGACCAGGACCATACAGGGGGTTGTGGGGTGGACCAGAACCATACAGGGGGTTGTGGGGTGGACCAGGACTATACAGGGGGTTGTGGGGTGGAACAGGACTATACAGGGTGTTGTGGGGTGGACCAGAACCATACAGGGGGTTGTGGGGTGGACCAGAACCATACAGGGGGTTGTGGGGTGGACCAGGACTATACAGGGGGGTTGTGAGGGTGGATCAGGACTATACAGGGGGTTGTGAGGGTGGACCAGGACTATACAGGGGGGTTGTGAGGGTGGACCAGGGGGTTGTGGGGTGGACCAGGACTATACAGGGGGTTGTGAGGGTGGACCAGGACTATACAGGGGGTTGTGGGGTGGACCAGAACCATACAGGGGGTTGTGGGGTGGACCAGGACTATACAGGGGGGTTGTGAGGGTGGATCAGGACTATACAGGGGGTTGTGGGGTGGACCAGAACCATACAGGGGGTTGTGGGGTGGACCAGGACTATACAGGGGGTTGTGAGGGTGGACCAGGACTATACAGGGGGTTGTGGGGTGGACCAGAACCATACAGGGGGTTGTGGGGTGGACCAGGACTATACAGGGGGGTTGTGAGGGTGGATCAGGACTATACAGGGGGTTGTGAGGGTGGACCAGGACTATACAGGGGGGTTGTGAGGGTGGAACAGGACTATACAGGGGATTGTGGGGTGGACCAGGACTATACAGGGGGTTGTGGGGTGGACCAGAACCATACAGGGGGTTGTGGGGTGGACCAGGACTATACAGGGGGTTGTGGGGTGGACCAGAACTATACAGGGGGTTGTGGGGTGGACCAGGACTATACAGGGGGTTGTGGGGTGGACCAGAACCATACAGGGGGTTGTGAGGTGGACCAGGACTATACAGGGGGTTGTGAGGTGGACCAGGACTATACAGGGGGTTGTGAGGGTGGACCAGGACTATACAGGGGGGTTGTGAGGGTGGACCAGGAAAACAGGAAAATCGTGCATCTTGGGATGAAATCAGTAATTCACTTGCACTTTTTCAAGACTGCATTCAAAACACTGCCAATTATATATTTTTTTACTGTAAAGCACTCTGCGATGACAACTGTTGATGAAAAGGGGCTTTACAAATACAACCAACCTGCTGTGTTACTACATTGTAAAATGCTTACATGATTGTCACACCTCTTTTTTTAAATAAAGGAAATCATAACCATTTGGGATGTCAGAAATGTCTAAAGTTCCAGCTAATTTCACTTCAACTAAACTCTCAAAAGGTTCCATTGACCTGTGACCATACTGTAGTACCTTTGATGCCCACATGATGTCAAAATTGTCAAGACAACCGTTGGTTCTGTGTGTGTGTGTGTGTGTGTGTGTTTTATGGGGGACTGCACATCAGACTACAATAAGATTTGTTTTATCTGCTGCTCCATTTTATTTGACTCTATTCTATTTAATCTATTACTCTACTAAATACATTACTGTTATTATGTTAGTTATTGTTTGTAAGAGAAGTTCTCACATTTGAGAAAGACAATCCGTTAGTCGATCATTGGTTCTGCTTCATACCATAAGGATTGCGTGCGACACTGAGTAGAGTGAGATAGCGAGAGAGAGAGGGAGACAGAGAGAGAGAGAGACGAGAGAGAGAGTGAGAGAAGAGAGGAGACAGACCGACATAGAGAGATAGAGAGAGAGAAGAAGAGATAGAGAGAGATAGAGAGAGAGAGAGAGAGAGAAGAGAAGAGAGATAGAGAAGAGACAGACAACAGACAAAGAGAGATAGAGAGTGAACAGACAGAGAGAGAGAGAATGGTAGAAAGAGAAGCGAAGAGAGATAGAGATAGAGAGAGAGAGAGAGAGAGAATAGAGAGCGATAGAGAGAGAGAGAGAGAGAGCGAGAGAAGCCGATAGAGAGCGAGAGAAGCGGAGAGAGAGAGAGCGAGAGAAGCGAGAGAGATAGAGCGGATCTAGATAAGCGGAAGATATATAGATAGAGAGAGAGAGATATATATGAGATGAGAGATAGGAGAGAGAGAGAGAGATACGAGAGAATCCATAGAGAGCGATATAATCGTGAGATATATAGAGCGAGAGAAGCGCACAGATTGTCCAGAGATGCAGACGAGCCTACATTTTCCTCCTTCGCCTTACCGATGATTACACTGTCTCCAGCTGAATGGACGATGCAGTCGGTGAGTAAAGACAATTGTATTCATGATTAGTGAATAACGGTATCGATCATGGTCAGGTTGAAATCCTTCATAGCTGCCATGGCATGTGCGTAAATATGCACGGTTAGGAATGCCTGAATGTATCGCTGATGTTACGATCACTCAGTCAACGTTACAAATCACTATACAAGTCTCGAATGTAGGCCTACTGTAATAACGATTTGCACAGTGAGTTACTGACTGTAGCCTACACCGGTGAACAAGTTCAAAAAGCATCCGCAAAATGGAATCCTCAAAGAAGCTATCCCACCTTTTGCCCATTTCACCCACCTTGGTCGGGTCTCCATGGTATTCGTTTTGGAAGTGATACACAATGAATATGGTTAAAGTATGTTCATAAGTTATTGATCAGTTGTTGTTTCAATTTTGGAAAAATATATAAATTACAACTTTTTCCATTACTGTTTTTCCTTCAGTAGGCTACATCACAGTATAATATCATGGGGGGGTGATTTGTCAGACACAGACGTCCTATTAAATTACTCAATGAACAGTTCTAATTATGTGGGTTCATCCCTGAGAGAGGAACACAACGAGGTAATGCTACATAAGAGCCAGCGGTGTGTTTACCTGTTTTACCTGGTTTACCAGCAGACCAAGCCCTTTGTCTTAGCAGTATTCCCAGCAGAGAACTGTATACTGTGCCGAAGAAAGCCTATTAGGTTTCCGTGAGCAGCTCTGAAGGAAACTGCCTGGTGAGCAGTATACTAACAATGCCCAGGTCTTTCTCAGTATCACACAATACATGATTTACCAACCCCTTTTTGCTGCCTGTGTTATTATTTATAACAAGAATGTCCAATTCTCTGTATTTATTTTTTTCTTCACAACACCGATTGAATACCCAGTAATATTCTATAACAATACAGTATTGCCTCCTCCTATACAGATGTAGGATCTTAATTTGATCACTCGTTTGTTGCTGAGAATTTTCCTGGAAATGCAGATGAGCTTCATGATTTACATAAATTCACTGAAAACCCGCACTAACACACGGTTATATTAACAGTATTGCACTTTTCATGTAGTCTAATTTTGGCCAGTTAATAGCCTAACCACTGATCAAGCAACATTATGGACTAAACGTTAAAATCCTGTTGCTGCAGAATTATTTTGCCGCGACAATACGGATCAAATTAAGATCCTATATCTGTTATTTACTGTGTTTAGATTTCAGCATGACACAGTAGTTACTCACAAGACACATTGTCCTCAGTATTAATTCTGTTCTCTGTCACTTATTGAGAAGATTTTTTGGTAATTCATCTGTGATTGGTGATTGATTGGTCACTGTATTTCAATTGAGGAAAGGAGATACAGGAATATAAAGAGGTAAGCTTTACGTGGGGTGGACCAGGACCAGGACCATACAGGATGTAACGAGGTCTTTTGCTCCATGTTTTCCAGGAAAACCCTTGGCATCATGTTCTAACAGAGATATTTACATCGGTAAGAACACCTGCATGTTTCTGTTAGTCTTTATTTTTTTAGACCTCTTTATTGTGTTAGAAAATACAGTTATCGCAAAGGACCAATCTCCCTGAATAGGATTTCATTGAAGTTATCATACAGGAAATATTTTCACATTTTAGTCATTTAGCAGACGCTCTTATGCAGAGCGACTTATAGTTAGTGAGTGCATACATAATTTTTTGAATTTTTCATACTGGCCCCCTGTGGGAATCAAACCCACAACCCTGGCGTTGCAAATGCCATGCTCTACCAACTGAGCTACATCCCTGCCGGGCATTCCCTCCCCTACCCTGGACGATGCTGGGCCAATTGTGCGCTGCCCCATGGGTCTCCCGGTCGCGGCCGGCTACGACAGAGCCTGGATTCGAACCAGGATCTCTAGTGGCACAGCTAGCACTGCGATGCAGTGCCTTAGACCTTTATGGATAGACTAGTGACACTGATACCTGAGAGACATTGGGAGGCGGTTTAGTTCCGTTGTGTCTTGTGTAGAAAAGAGATGAAGCTCCAAATGAGAAACAGCTTCATATATTTAATCAGGTTGCATCCAAAATGGTGCCCTATTTAGTGCACTACTTTTGACCAGTACCCATAGGGCTCTAGTCTAAAGTAGTGCACTATAAAAGGAATAGGGTGCCATTTGGGATGTAGCCTCAGTCTTTGAGAAACAGGAGACAGTCAGTATTTGAGCATCTACATACAGTGCATTCGGAAAGTATTCAGACCCCTTCACTTTTAATCTTTTTTATTAAATAAAAAATGTTCCTCATCAATACCCCTGTCACTTGAACCGATGTGGATGTGGTGGAGGAGTCAGGCGCAGGACACAGACGTGAAGTCCAACAGACTTTAATAGTCTAATGAATAAGAGAAAAACCCCGACCTCGAAATATACCAAGAGGCGAGGGAAAAGTACGCACACGCGTAAACACTAAACACAAAACAAACAGGGTGCAAACACGTAGCAGCCTCGGCCGAAACCATGACAACCCCATTAGCAAAATACCGATTCACCAATCGGCGCAGAGTGTTGGACACCTCGTCCATGGCGGCCCCGAGTTGCCGGATCATGGTGTCCTGGTAGTTGATCCGGTCTTCCAGGGATTCGGGTGCCGCTGCCGTTCCTGCTGACTCCATGGTGGTGTGTTGTTCTGTCACTTGAACCGATGTGGATGTGGTGGAGGAGTCAGGCGCAGGACACAGACGTGAAGTCCAACAGACTTTAATAGTCTAATGAATAAGAGAAAAACCCCTCGAAATATACCAAGAGGCGAGGGAAAAGTACGCACACGCGTAAACACTAAACACAAAACAAACAGGGTGCAAACACGTAGCTCCGACACAGTGGCAGTCATAACAACACACAATCATTCTAGTGCAAAACAAGGAACTTATAAGACACGTAATCAACACACAAATGGACACAGGTGTAACAGACAGACAAAAGCAATCAAATAACGAAACATAGAGCGGTGGCAGCTAGTACTCCGGGGACGGCGAACGCCGAAGCCTGCCCGAACCAGGAGGAGGAGCAGCCTCGGCCGAAACCGTGACAGTACCCCCCCCTTGACGCGCGGCTCCAGCCGTGCGCCGACCCCGGCCTCGGGGATGGCCAGGAGGACGCGGACCCGGGCGCGTGGGATGCCCACGGTGAAACTCAGTCAGGAGGGATGGATCGAGTATGTCCCTCCTGGGAACCCAGCACCGTTCCTCCGGACCGTACCCCTCCCACTCCACGAGATACTGGAGACCACTCATCCGGCGCCTCGAGTCCAAGATGGTCCGGACCCTGTACGCCGGGGCCCCCTCGATGTCCAAAGGGGGCGGAGGGGTCTCTCCTATCTCATCTTCTTGGAGTGGGCCAGCTACCACCGGCCTGAGAAGAGACACATGGAACGAGGGGTTAATATTTTTATACTCTATAGGCAGTTGTAACCTGTAACACACCTCGTTCAATCTTCTCAGGACTTTGAAGGGCCCCACAAACCGCCGACCCAGCTTCCGGCAGGGCAGGCGGAGGGGCAGGTTTCGAGTCGAGAGCCAGACTCGATCTCCTGGTGCGTACACCGGTCCCTCACTGCGGTGGCGATCGGCGCTCGCCTTTTGTTGACGGATGGCACGCTGCAGATGGACATGGGCAGCGTCCCACGTCTCCTCCGAGCGCCGAATCCACTCGTCCACCGCAGGGGCCTCGATCTGGCTCTCGTGCCATGGTGCCAGGACCGGCTGATAACCTAAAACACACTGGAAAGGTGTTAAATTGGTGGAGGAGTGGCGGAGAGAGTTCTGGGCCATCTCTGCCCAGGGGATGAACCTAGACCACTCCTCCGGCCGGTCCCGGCAATAGGACCTCAAAAACCTACCCACATCCTGGTTGACACGTTCCACCTGCCCATTGCTCTCTGGGTGGTACCCCCGAGGTAAGGCTTACCGAGACCCCCAACCGTTCCATGAACGCCCCCCAAACTCTGGAGGTGAACTGGGGACCTCGGTCAGACACTATATCCTTGGGGACCCCATAGTGCCGGAACACATGGGTAAATAGGGCCTCAGCGGTTTGTAGGGCAGTAGGGAGACCCGGCATGGGA